GGTGCTTTTGCAATTATACGCAGTGGTTCGAGCACTAATAATATGCGGTGCTTTAATATTATACGCGATACTAGCTTTCATTCAACATTATTTCCATATTCTTTCCATGACATGTATATGATTTAACGATTGCTTAAATTTGGTATGTGGTTGACAAATGCTTTTTGCCTATGGTCTGCATGGACAATGACATGCTTTTCTGTGTATATAAATGAATATAGCGCAGCGAATGCGCCAAACAGTATAAACGCGGCTGAAATACGATATTAAAATCTTAAATGTGCCGTATGATTTTTTAATTATGTTTTGGAATTTACAAATGCTTTGTCATTTGTATTTATACTTGTACTGCATCACAAGGCAGTACGTAAGTGAAAAAATTCCACATGTGAGAATGTCTTGTATACATTTTTGCTTTCTTTGATAAACATTAAACACGCAAATTTTAATTAGTGAGACGCAATGTTAAATGTCACCTGCATGTCATTGTCATTGCCCTTTAACCCCTGGTCTAATTGGCCGCTTTTGAAAATGTTGATCATGACGAACCGCACTGGCTTAATTATGCAAACTTTGTGTTTTAAAAACGGGTTAGGATAAAACGCGGATACGGACGGACGGATGAATGACGGACGGACGGACGGCGACGGACGGATGACATATATATGTCATTATATAGTCTGTCATTATATAATCAATATTCCGAGTATATAATTATATAAACTGGGATGTCACACTGATAGCTTGTTTACATTTCCTGGAGCATCATGAAATCTTATGTTTAACCACGGTGGTTTAACCCATTAGCTGGCAATGCGCCCTTCCCTTGTCCAACGCCAGACGATTTTACTCGTCAGTGGTATAGGGTACTGCCAGTAAATGGGTTAACAAACCTATCTGCCAATGGCTCTTGTTAATTCATCAACACAGTAATGGCCCCTACTTTAGTATTTACCCTGTCCAACGCCAGACGATTTTTAATACTCAATCAGTGGTAGGGTACTGTCAATAAATGGGTTAACAAGAATAACAATAATAGGATGTTTCTGAAGGACTCGTTCAACACCCTGTAGTTTGTCTTTTGCAGTCAAAGGCAGCATTACTGCCCTGTGGGTAACCTAATTTAAGAGAATAGTTAAAGGTGCTCTACAGTCCGTATGTAAACAAAGCCTTTGTTTACATTTTTGTGTCCAAAATATTGAGCTTTATTCGACAACTATTTATATTTTCAAGCTTCTAGAGTATAATAAATGATCAAGAAACAATAATCAGGCTTTTCAAGAACCCAAGACATAGTTAAACTGTTTGTATCATATAATGTGGGCTCCTTTGTGCACATGCGCAGATCGGTCTGTAGATCACCTTTAATAGTTATAAATGAAATAAACCATGAATGCTGTAGCAACTAAACATTGTAATAATTATGATAAATATGGCCAAGGTGAAATGTTGTAAACTGCCACAAAAATTATAAGCACGGCTGAAGAAGAAATTTTAGCATATGCGATCGGTGAGTCTGATGAAAATAAGTTAAATAACACAGCTTGATTACTGCGGTGTGTAGCTGTCATACATATATAGCTGTCCTATAATCGAAATCATTGTTTGCATACCTGATACCTACAGTACACTGTCTGTCAATTCACACAAACTATTTGATAACCATAAGTATATGGCAGCTAGGATTTGCAGGATCTGTTATAGAGATTATATTGCCATTGCTTGGTTTGAATTTAGCACTTTGCTTTGGAAACAAGTGAGAGCATTCGCTGCCACGCTGATTGTGAACTTGGGCGATTGGGTCACACTTCCAAAGACCTAAACATTCTCAAATGCTTTTCAAAACCACAAGTACAGAAACATCAAATATATATTATATATATATTTATATATATATATATATATATATATATATATATATATATATATATATATATATATATATATATATATATATATATATATATATATATATATATGATCGCCCATTGTTTTTCGATGATGACTGAGATGTCAATGGTTGTTCTTTCTCATTCCCTGCACTTGTCCGCTCGTATATGCGTCGCTCTTCCTGCGTTCGAAATATAACAGCGTCCGCACTTATTACACTGTATGTTCGATTCAAAAGTTCCATGGCGTGAACAACACAAACGACAACTACCTGAACTAGAGCTTTTTATGGCAAACAAACTTCTTATTGGCAGAAAATATGCTCAGAACAGACTTGGCTTTATCTTTATTATATTTATATTGAATTTTGTAAGTTTTAAAGTTATTAAAAAATCCCAAACGGAAATTCAGAAGCAATCTAGACACCAAAGGAAGAGATCACCAAGAGTGTGAAACATGATCCGCTGGTAAGAGGTACCGTGATAATTTTTGGCCCAATGCAGTAATTTTATGAAGCCGGATGTGCTAATTGCCCCTGAAAAAACCTGTTCACACTGAACAGAGAGCGATTTGGGGAAGGGATTTAATACAAAACACGACTTATAACGCATAACTTCTCTTACTGTGGGGATCAAACAAAAATCTACCGCAAAGGGCACCTCTAGACGGGATTAAAACGTAATAAACGGAATATTGTGACAAACGTGAAACGGGATATTTACACAAAAATCGAGTTAAAGCAAAATTACGCGGTATATGTAAACAAATATAGAGATCGAGATAATAACACGACAATCGCGAAATGACGTCGAAGCACAAGGATGAAAAACGATGGCACATAACGACATCGAGTCAACAAAAGCCAAATTCAAATTGTTGTTGAGAAAGCTCGCTTAATTTAACCGATCTACGGCTGATACTCTAGAATTGAGCCGGAAGCGACAAAATAAACAGACAATATACGTTGCTTAAAACCAAGCTGGACGAAGCGTACGATTTAAAAACTATACAAGGTTTAAAGTTAGATACCGACAAGAGCGACGAAGCAATCGATCAATGGTCTGGTAGTCAATTTATCCCGGGCGTTCTGTGACCCCAGTCCGCGATCATATCAGATTATGTCAGCGGCCTGAGTCCCAGGCCCCCAAGCACCATAGATTTTTTCCAAAAATGGTCAAAATTACCATGTTTGAGGGCCTATATCTCAGAGACTATTGAACTAAATCAAAAAAGGTTGAAGAACTTCTAAAATAACTTTTTCTGCTCTTATCAAATCCGTAAAGATCCCACGAGTGATATAGGCACTTTAAGGTTCCTGTGGATAACTAACTTGCACAGCAGAGAAGAGAAGATTTACCGCATGACAAGACTTATGTTTGGTGTGGGTCCAAGTCCATTCATTCTTCGATGGATATTGAACGTTCGTCTAGAGAAATACCCACAAGATTATCCGGTTTGTGTTTGAGAACTTAAAGACGGTACATACGTGGACGATATAAACATTGCAAGCGACACATTGGAAGAAACGAGAGAATTCAAAGAAGATGCTGTGAAAATCCTATGAGAAGGTGGTTTCCACTTACATAAATGGCATTCGAACGCCGCAGAATTAGAAAGTGATGTAAAGAAAGATGGAGAAACTACCTATGCGAAGGAAAGTCTAGGGACAACACCATCGCAGACCAAACTTCTTGCATTAGGCTGTTCCAAATCTCATTTCGAAAACAAGACTGGTCAAACGGACTTGACTATTCCGCGCCTGGAGTTAGTGATTTGCCACATGCTAAATAACCTCCTACACAACACATTCAAAGTTCGTAGTCATATACACATTGCTGTCTGTTTTCAATGGATCCAAGGTCAGGGAAGATATAAACAATTCGTGGCCAATTGGGTGTGAAGAAAGTTATTGTGAAGAAAGTTATTGGCAAATGCTATGGGTGTAAACGATTTTACACAACGCCAATGCCCGTTCCACCTCAGGGGAATCATCCAAAAGAACGAACTGAAGGTGAAATTCCCTTCAAGTAACTGGTGTCAACTATGCCGTACCGATCTATTACAAGGGAAATTGGGGAGCTGATCGTAAGTTGTATATGGTCATCTATACGTGCAGTGTAGCTACAGGAGTTCACTTGTAGATTCTGCCAAACATGAGCCGTGAAGAATTCCCGATGACTTAAGATTTATCGCCGCAACAGGTCGTCCGAAGAAGATCATATCCGATAATAGAAAGACTTTTATGGCTGCTACCAAATGGATCGATCAAGAAAGTCGTACGGAACGAAAAGTTACAAGGCATCTGAATGAACATGGAGTGAAATGGCAGTTCAATCTAAGCGAAACTAGCTGATGGGGTGGAATGTTTGAACGAATGGTTAGCATAGTGAAACAAGGTCTTTACAAGATCGTAGGATCGGCAAAATTTACATTCAAAGAATTGCAAGACATGATGCTATAGATATCCAGCTCGTATTGAACAATCGACCACAATCGTACAGCGGGGATGACGTTCAGCTTCCCGTGTTGACGCCGAACGTGATGATTTTCGGTAAAGCTAAATATCTGATGGAGTTATCACCTGAGGATATAGAAGAACGAGACCTGCGAAAGAGGACAAAGTATTTGAAGAAATGTAAGGACGCGTTGTGGCAACGATGGAGACGAGAATACATGTGAGCACTTCGCGGAAGGCATAATTTAACATATGACGGGAAAGAGAGAGAGCTAAGAAAGGGTGATGTTTTTTTATCAAAGGTGATGAAAAGAATCGTAGACTGTGGGAAATTGAGATTGTTGAATAACTTATACCCGGAAGAGACAAGTGGTCCGTGGAGTAAGACTACGTGCAGGAAAATCATTCATGAAAAGACCAATGCACTTTCTTTACCCTTTGGAATTGCATTTTTAGAGGCGCCGGAATTTCGATAATTGGGGTGGGGGGAGGGGGGGAGGCAGATGTTCATATATTCGTGTTCTGCCCAATTAATTTCTTTTGAAATCGATTGTTTTTACAGTCTCTGAACACGAATATATGAATATCTCCCCCAATTATCGATATTCCGGCGCATCTGTCAGCATTGTAATAAAGAAAACAATCAGGAAACTGTTCCATTGAATCCTGCTGCAAAGGAATTCAAACCGAAGCGTAGAGCGGCTATCGATGCAAGGAAGGATATTGAAAAAATTTATGATCATGAAGAAGAAGAACTTTGATAGGTAGAGACGGTGAATATATGTAGACGGTCGTGTGTTTATAAGCTCGTTTATAAGACAGATAGGTTTATATATTTACAAAACGTACGTTTCTAAATAGGAGAGTGTGTCGGGAAAAAGGTTGATATTAGTTAGCTTAAGCAAGTGACGTTCTTGACAACACGAACGACATGAGTAGCGTCGAAGACTGGGTCAAGGGCTGTGATTGGTGAAAAACGCCAACTTTACTTCCGGTCGACGTCCGTGTTGTCAAAAACGTCACTTGCTTAAGCTCACTATTAAGTAATTAATAACTAAAAATTAAATTTAGAAATGAGGCGACTACCATATATGGTATTGATTGACAGCAGGTATGCTAGATAAAAGGAATGTTGTTATTGGGAATATACTGTATGTAACAAAGAGCGATTTTGGGAAGGGATTTAATTAATACAAAACACAATTTATAACGCGTAATTTTCTCTTATTGTGGGGATCAAACAAAAATTTATCACACCGTTAAGTTTTTTCGAATTTTTAACAAATTAAGAATTTTTAGCGTTCCGGTGTTCAGTGTTCCGGAATGATGCTGTTCCGGCGTTGCTGTGTTACTGGTTTTACTAATAGCCAAAACGGTCGGTAAATTTGGCGCGCTTGCAGGTGAGCCAAGTCCGTCTTTCCCTCAAACTTTCGCACGTTATTGCACCACATTATTGCACTCGTTATTGTCTTCGAAACAAATAAACAGCCAAAGACTTCTCAATCGATATTAGGCTATTTACGTGTAGAGCGAAGTTTGGCACGAATCAGCTGAAATCTCTGAAGACCCCCTCTATGTTTTCTAAGATATACCGATATTTCTGAAGATTTTCAAATACAGGCAAACTGCATCCAAGCTGCATCTAGGCGTCTCCATGCAAGTGGTGATTCACACGAAATTTGCTTTCTCTCGTCTTGAACAATATGGCTATTGCTATTAATATTTAGTTTAAATATGCTTTTATAGACCTGACTTAGTTCGATATCAACAAACACAAATATATAACATCGCGTAACCTGTTTACGCTGTACGTACTGCCACAGGAATATACGGATTCGCTTATTTTGCCGGACACCAACACTTGCCGTTCAGGAGCAATGCTTGCCTACACATTTTATACCCCTCGCAATCTTTGTTTTATTTTATCGTACAGTCGCAATTTTTAAGTATTCGGGGTATTCTGAAACTGTAAAACTCGGTGGCGCGACGGATCTTGTAGAGACTACATCTGCCTAGACCAGGAACTGTGTGACCCATTTTCGATCTTGTGCAAATCGTTAAACGTTCAAAAGCTTTGAGATTTTGACTTGATAAAACAAGTAACTAGACACTTGTGAAACTAATGATTCTCAAAGTTGGCAGCGTAGATTGATTTCGCTAAATGTTTTACTTTAATTTGGTCATGCAAAATATACTTTAGTCTTTATTCGGGCAAAATGTGTCTAGTATTTGCCGTGTATAAATTTTCAAAAGTATTTCCTTGCATTCGAATTCGATAGATAAGTTAAATGTCCCACAATATTTAGAATAAACATGCTGTGTCTAAATTTAACTTTTGCCGTACATCAAATTTTGCCGTGCCGTGCGTGCCATTGCAAAATATTGCAGCTACAGTCGTGTACGTGCCGTGTAAACGGGACTTAAGTTAAGGTAACAAATTATCTGAATTGTCGCAAGGTTTAATAATGCAGTTTTATCTCGCCTATTCACGGTTCATAACTGGATGCTTGTGCTAAAAACAAATTGACTTGTCTTTGTTTTTACGGTTCGCGATTTTCTGTGGCTATGAATATTATATGATAGCCAGATAGAAGTGTTACTCCTCTGCGCTTTGAGAAACTAAGCCAGCGTGTTAAATTTTGTCAACTTAACTCTCATAATTAATCGTTATAATTAGTCGTTTACATTCGTGAGAAGCTTTAGACTATGGTGATTGTGTTCATAACAATAGTCAATAGACAAGACAAATATGTCTTTCTTATCGTTTGCGTTTGCTGACATATTTGCTGAATATTAATGATATTGTATGTATATATTATTCGCTAGGAATACAGTCAAAATTTCTTGTATCTTGCTTCTAAATACAAAAATGAAAAATCGAAGACCGTCAATCGATGCGGAATATTGTTTAGAATAATTATGTGAAGTTTCATTCCAATCGGAAAAGTAATGACGGAAACCTTAGGGTTTTTTTCAAAGAGCGTCGCCCCAACCTCGTTCCCAGGGCTTTCGTGTGAGTACGAGGCGAGGCACCGAGGCACAAGAAAGCCCTGGTCTTGGCCGGTCAATTTTGCATTCTGATTGGCTAACACCATATTGTCTAAAAATAACTGAACTTGACAGTTGACAATAACAATCCAAAATTTGTATTTTTGTTGCATGCCCATATATGGCATGCAACTATCATATAGCTTAAAATTCGTGTCCGTTGGTGGTGGTGAAACTTGCGGCAGATCACGTGGGACGAGCATAATAACAATAAGCATAATTATAAATTTTGAATCGTGTGCACGTTTTCTTCCATGGTTTTCGTCGAGCAAATGCAAAGATTCGCAGAAAATTTACATAATCGAGCGCCTTAGAAAAATACATCGAGGTAGGTAAAGCTTTGCTGTTTTAATTTACTTTATATTATGTTATTTTGTTGTGATTTTGGAGCCGCTGTGCTCGCACTGATTATTTATAAGGCGTAATATTATATAGCGTGAAAGGCCGTGCACGCTATCAAAATACTAAATTTAAGTATAATACTCAAACTGAAGTGGAGTTATTGTGCTCGCATTGATTATATTGTGTGCAAAACTTTAAAACTACAGTAAATTTTGTAAATAACATGAAATATATTAAAAATAACAAACAAAATTCTCATTAATACTATTGAAATTACAACGAAATAGCATTCTACGTCGATAATTTCAATCGTAGTTTAACAATTATTTTCAATCTGTAGTAATTCACCGTTTCCATGTTTTTTTATACTTTCAATAAAGCTACAATCAAGCTAAATTTGTAGGAAATAACATTATTTAGTTATAAATCGCTTTCGATAAAACCTTGACGTTGTTTATATTACCGTCGCCTGCAACTAACAATGAACAGTTGCTCATAAAAACATTGCCTTTTCGCGTGATAATCTAAAGTTTTCTTATTTTGACAATAAATATATTGATATTAAACTCAGTTATTAAATCAGTATATTAAGTTTCAGGCCAGTTGTACCAAACGTTATAAGCGCTAGCGCATCATAACCAGGGAGGCGACCTCTGGGGGGAGGCGACTGCTTTCGTTTACGGTACTTGCTGAGTGACAAATTATCAATCATGACGAATAGCGCTTACGCAAAAAAACAATGGAAATCGACTTTTGTATAGTATTCTGTGTCATAACGTTCCATGGTTTTGATTAGCCTGAAAACAGACCTACGTTCTGCCCACCCTAAAATTTGCGGGTCGACGGATCCGTAGATTTGCTCTAAGTCTCTCTTTCATTGTCTTATCGATCCACTATGGTGTACATTACATGATGTAGCACTGAGAGGCGGAGCGAGAAAGAGAGACTTGTCAACTTCGGAAAATCTCGGTTTAAAACTGAACAGAAAATGCAAGACTTGCTTTCAGGGACGCCGGAAAATCGATAATTGGGGGGGCAGATATTCATATATTCGTGTTCACAGACTGTAAAAACAATCGATTTCAAAAGAAATTAATTGGGCAGAACAGGAATATATGAATATCTGCCCCCCCAATTATCGATCTTCCGGCGTCCCTGCTTGCTTTAATCGTTTTCTGTCAGTGTTTATATGTATTGATCTAGCACAGTGTAAATAACATGAGTTCCATTATAGTAAATAATACAGAAAGAAATTGAAGGAAAACAATTAAAGCAAGTCTTGCATTTTCTGTTCAGTTTTCAACCGAGATTTTCCGAAGTTGACAAGTCTCTCCTTCTCGCTCCGCCCCTCCGTAGTACGTCATGCAATGTACACTATAGTGGATTGATACTATATGACAATGAAAGAGAGACTTGGAGCAAGTCTAACGGCTCCGTCAACCTGCGAATTTTAGGGCGGGCGGAACGTAGGTCTGTTTTAACGCTAGCTTTTGATGGCATGCAACATGTACGCACTGGGTTACCTATTTTTATGATTCTTGTGAGTACGAGAATGTTTTGCAAAATAATCTTTCGAAGTAAGACGTTTTTCCGACTGCATGATTTACTTTCGCCTTGGCCGGTTACAAAACTTAAAAGCAGCGTCGAGTGAGTCGTGATGTTTCCTGACAAAACAAGAAACGTCTACTATTATTTAAGTTTTCCTTGTACAGTATTATAATGTAGTGCAAATGTCTGATGAAATACTACGCGTATTGCATTGTAGTAATATTTTAATTTACAACATTCTGTACTGACGAATAAAAGCAAAACAAACAATTAAATGAAACTATTAAATTAATTTAGGCCCTGTTTACTTAATAGCTCTACGCCTAGACCGATGTAGTCTCTACAAGATCCGTCACGCCACCGAGTTTTACAGTTTCAGAATACCCCGAATACCTGAAAATTGCGACTGTACGATAAAATAGAACAAAGATTGTGAAGGGTATAAAATGTGTAGGCAAGCATTGCTCCTGAATGGCAAGTGTTGGTGTCCGGCGAAACAAGCGAATCCGTATATTCTTGTACAGCGTAAACAGGTTACGCGAGGTTTTATATTTGTGTTTATTTATATCGAACTAAGTCAGATCTATAAGAGCATATTTAAACTAAATATTAATAGCAATAGCCATATTGTTCAAGACGAGAGAAAGCAAATTTCGTGTGAATCATCACTTGCATGGAGACGCCTAGATGCAACTTGGATGCAGTTTGCCTGTGATTGAAAATCTCCAGAAATATCGGTATATCTTAGAAAAATTAGTCATAGAGGGGGTCTTCAGAGATTTCAGCTGATTCGTGCCAAACTTCGCTCTACACATAAATAATATCGATTGAGAAGTCTTTTGGCTTTTTATTTGTTTCGAAGACTTGTATATTTCATTAAAGCATATCTCACCACTCCTTGCATGACGAGTAGCTGTCAAATATATTTCGTGCCTCGCCTCGTCCTCATACGAAAGCCCTGGGAACAAGATTGCGTCGCCCCCTAACAACAACAACAACAACAACAACAACAACAACAACAACAACAACAACAACAACAACAACAACAACAACAACAACAACAACAACAACAACAACAACAACAACAACAGCAGCAGCAGCAGCAGCAGCAGCAGCAGCAACAACAACAACACTATAAAAGTCCATGCAGTAGTCTTTGTTGAATGGTTTTATAGATGAAAATTTCACCCATTTAGGAATTGAGGTTATAGGCCTGCTACCATTTAACTATATCTCATGACAAATATGTTAAACTATGGGTACGAGTTCAACTTCTACAGTTATTTATTATTATGTGTGCCATTGTGCCAATTTGATATAAGTATATACCTGAAAAACGAGATCGCCGATCATAATGAAGACTGTACATAACGTTGTATTTGTTTTTTTCTTTTAAATTACATAGCACGTGAACATGACAACATTACCTCAAGATATTAACGAGAGTTTAAGATATTTTGAAGAAGAATGGAAAAGACTTGCCAAGGAAATTCGTTCCTCCTACGAATGGAAAGAAATGAGCGTTTACAGGCCAAACAAAACCCCTCCAACTGATAAAAAAACAACAATATACAAAGTGTTGACAACCGGTGAATCACGAGCTATACCAGTTGGAACTTTAGATGCATCTAATGTTGAGATTAAAGCACATTTGCAGAAGAATTCAAAAAAGATGTTATCAATGTTATGCCTTCTCCTTGGTAATATATGTTCAGAAGGAGGTAAAATAAATGTTTCTCGTACTCTGCGCAAAAAGAAAAATTTGGACAACTTAAATTACATTAAGATTGACGTAATTGACGACTATGAATTTCTCATGCCACAACTTAACAAAACAAGTATTGACTTTTACTTACAACTGAATGTTAATGGGAAATTTGTTGTTGTCCGACGCTACACAATCAGTTTTAGTAGTAAGCGCGGGAAAAGATCAGCCTGGAGTGGTTTCACTGAACACAGTATTCCATACGAATATCTCATGCCAGATTATAATCAACATAAGATGTCTACAGGATGTTATAGTGGTTGCACCCCTGTCGGTTGGGCTCAGATTTTTGCTTACTACGACAGAGTGGCGCATAGATACGGATATAGATACAGCACTAGTCACTGGCGTGGAAAAAGCGGTGTATCTGGATATTCGTCATACGAAGCACCAGGATCTCTGAACTCGGAAGTGGAAAGATATGTCGAAGCTCTTGGTGTTCCTCTTCGCACAAATTGTGGATCAACTACAATGAGAAATACTGATAACGTGGATGCATGGTTTCGCGCACGTCAGGGATCAGGAAAAGTGATCTGGATATCTAGGTCAAACATAATAAAGCAACAAGTTAGCCTGTACGTCATACGGAATAAATATCCGGTGTTAAATTCTATTTATTGGTACGGAAGTTCAGGCGACCAAAAAACGAAGTCAGGACATGATGTTGTGGTAACCAAAGTCAAACAAAGATCACGCCAGTATAAATCCTGTCGAAAGGTTGGATGGTGGTGGGGAAGAAGAACCAAATGTGAGGGGAAAACAGAGTACGAGTACGAATGGTATCGCAGAATGGGTTGGGGTGGACGGAAGAACAATTGGTATCCTGCATCAGCGACGGGAGCTTTTGTTGCAGTTCTCTAAAGGCAACCTGATTTTTTTTGTTTTAATTACACATTACGAATTAGCATAGATTGGGTTAAAAAGAAATTTAATTTGTATTTGCCATGAGCATTTAATTGTATTTCGACAACTATATAACGTGAATAATTAACGAAAGCTACAATCAGTGACAAAATTGGTGGCCGTTTAATCAAGCTGAAACGGAAACATAATCCGCTGTTGCATGTTGTTAATTAAAAAAAAATTGGTATTGTATCTGAAGTGGTTGTGTTCTATTAAGTTGTTGATAATTATTGCCCACCTTTCATTGTCACTGATTGTATATCGTAAAAATGATTGTATTAACTTTGTACTTTCCAGTAAAATGATATAATTAACATTAAAACACGTTCCAAGATAAAATCAGATTTTCCATTTTATATTTCCCCGCAAATTTTAACGATTTTTGCGGAATGTTAGGGCTTGCCCTCCAAACATCCACAATTTGGGGGGATTCCCCTTTTTTCACTCAATTAAGCTAAAATTTGATTCATATTTTTCACTCCATACAACAAAATTTGTGCTAAATATTGCGCATTATGCATGATGAGCAAAGTATCTCCAATGCAGATTTGTTCAATTCTATGCACTCGATTCGGCTAAATTTATTACAGCTTATTGCGAATTATAAAAAATTGTAAAAGCTTCATTTAAGAATATATTCCGCTGCAATCAATTGTAGGTAGCCCAACAATCCGCACGCCGTAACGTATGATGCAATAGTACAATATCATAAGGTTGGCAAGGAAATAATATTATGACTCGCCACGGCTTAAACAAGTCGAAAAAATCAACATGTCTTGAACAAAGTACCCTAAAAAATAGCAGTCCCTACTTGTAGGATAGTTTTACTAAATATGTACAACGTTTTTTTTTCAACAAAACGAGTTTATAAGACAAAAAAATACGAAAAGTTTCTTTGAATTTGCCCTGTCTCGATGCGGGATGCCTGCATGCATGTTGCCGTGAGAAAATCGTCGTTTCAATACACGTATACGCGATCCTATTGGCTGTCAAAAAAACGGCAAAACAGCTTACAGGGCCACAGGGGGAAGTTTACCATTTGTTTGCTAGCAAAAATGCTTTCGAGTTAGTTCGAATAAAAAAGATTACGGCAGTAGTGCGCGACAGCTATGTTTATAGCCGATCATGTCGCTGGGCGATCTGTGGATTATGTACGGAGCCGTATTAGTGCCATTGAAATATTGCGCTTGAATTTCATATTTCTCGCGTCTAACATTTTTTCTCGCGTCTAACATTTTTTCTCGTGTCAGAAATTTTTTCTCGCGTCTGAAAATTTTTCTCGCGTCTGAAATTTTCACTTGCGTCTAACATTTTTTCTCGCGTCTGAAATTTTTTCCCGCGTCTAACTTTTTTTCTCGCGTCTGAAATTTTTTCTCGCGTCTAACATTTTTTCTGGGTTAGGATAAAACGCGGATACGGACGGACGGATGGATGGCGGACGGATGAGTGACGGACGGATGGATGGCTTTCAAAAAACGTTTTTCAGCCTTTTTTGAGTCATATCTGCGTTTTATCCAAAAGGATAAAACGCGGATATGGTCCAAAAAATACTTTCAGCCCTTTTTAGGTCATATCCGCGATTTATCTAAAAGGATAAAACGCGGATATGGTCAAAAGAATGTCAATGCAGTTATCGGTTTAAATATAGTTACCTACAATTCCCGTTAAAATATGACAATTTTCGTACGCAAACGCAAATTACAATTGCCACTCTCAAAATTAATTTTCTGTTATCCGGTCGTGTATAGTAATCTAACTTTATGCGGCCACTTTGGCATATACATTGGCATAAAATGCATTAGTTAAATCAGATTACTACACGGCCGGATAACAGAGAAAATTAATCATGAAAGTGGTGATTGTATTTCGGTGTTTGCGTAAAGTAAGTCCGTACTTTTAGTGACTTCTAGATATATTTCAACCGATAACTGCATCGAAAAGCCCTTGAAAAACAGCACATTAAATTGGTATAAAATTAGATTACTACATACCCAGATAACAGAGAAAATTAAGAATGAAAGTTGTATTTGTAGCTATTTGCGTTCGCGTAAATATAGACCGTATCGGAAATTGTCTTACCTTAACGGAAATTTTAGATATACTTAAACCGAAAACTGCATTGAAAAGCCATTGAAAAACAGCACATTACATTGGCATAAAACGAGATTACTACATACCCAGATAACAGAGAAAATTAAGCATGAAAGTTGCAATAAATTGTAGCTAATTTGCATGCATGCATGCGTTTGCGTAAAAGTAGACCATACGGAATTTGTCTTATCTTAATTAAAGAGAATTTTAGGTATATTTAAACCGATAACTGCATTGAAAAACCCTTGAGAAACAGCACATTACATTGGCATAAAATTGGATTACTACATGCCAGATAACTGAGGAAACTAAGCATAAAAGTTGCAATTGTAATTTGCGTTCTCATCCGTCCGTCCGTTCGCCATCCATCTGTCCGTCCGTCCGTATCCACGTTTTATCCTAACCCAGAAAAAATGTTAGACGCGAGAAAAAATTTCAGACGCAAGAAAAAAAGTTAGACGCGAGAAAAAATTTCAGACGCGAGAAAAAATGTTAGACGCGCGAAAAAATTTCAGACGCAGGAAAAAAGTTAGACGCGAGAAAAAATTTCAGACGCGAGAAAAAATGTTAGACGTGAGAAAAAATTTCAGACGCGAGAAAAAAAGTTAGACGCGCGAAAAAATTTCAGACGCAGGAAAAAATGTTAGTCACGAGAAAAAATTTCAGACGCGAGAAAAAATGTTAGACGCGAGAAAAAAGTCGAGAAATATGAAATTCAAGCGCAATATTTCAATGGCACTAATACGGCTTCGAAATTATTTGTCAAAGTTTGTCTTTATCAAGCGGCGGCAATGTTCGATCACCAGTTTAACTGAATTGCAAAAAAACTGATCATCGAACAGATACTGGTGAGTTTTCTGCATGTAAATTGTAGTTTAGCTATATAGTCAAGGACCTGTATAGATGTTTGTGTGCGTTTCATTTAGCACAGGTAATCTCAACTGTTTTAGGGTAAAATGACCAAGGCGGTCAACATGGCATATGTACGGTGACCCATAAGTGCAACACTGTTTCCAATTGCTTACGCGAAATTCCAATCGCTTACGCGAAATTCCAATCGCTTACGCGAAATTCCAATCGCTTACGCGAAATTCCAATCGCTTACGCGAAATTCAAATTTTCACGCGAATTTCAAATTGCTCACGCGAAATTCAAATTCTCACGCGAAATTCAAATTGCTCACGCGAAATTCAAATTGCTTACGCGAAATTCAAATTGCTTACGCGTATTAAATTCATTATGTTTTACATTCTATTAATTAACCGGCCTTAAGACAATTCCCGCCAAAAACAACAAAAACATGGCGGCTGTAATATGTTGTGCTGAATGCAACGAACAGGTTGGGTTAATTGGTAACAACTTTTGTTCGTCTTGTGGCAATCAACTTGATACAGAGACAAACATCTTAAAGCATTATTTTTACCAAGGGTAGGAGTATAATACGATATTGGATTTTATATCCAAGTATCATGGGATTTCAAGGTGTTTTCGAACATTGAAAAACCGTTTTCAACAGTTAGGTCTTTGTCGAAAAGATACGGATTTTAATGAAGAAGAAGTACGCGCACGAACACAAAGTGAAATAGATGGGCCTGGATGTATGGGTGGTTATAGGACAATGTGGCACACACTTCGATCAGAAGGTTATATGGTACCTAGAGGTAAAGTGGAGCATTTATTGAAGGAACTAGACCCGGAAGGCTGCGAGCTTAGGCGGGCTCGGCGTTTGAGACGAAGGGCATATGTTAACCAGGGGCCTAATTTTTGCTGGCATATAGTAATAGTAATAGTTTATTAGGACTCTCTTGCAGTTACAGAAACAACTGAATTAACGAGTACTTTACAATAGATAAGAATATGCTATAAAATAGTACATGGATATGCTTTAGAATCTAGGCTAGTGCATGCATAATTATTTACAATTTCCATATATGTTAAAAAAAAATCTTAACATATTAAGAGTATTTAAATGTAAAAAAGGATTGAGCTTTAATTGTTCTGCAATCAGTAACATTATTAAATAGATAAAATCGATCAGTGTTCTGTCTCAAATTAATGTCATGCATGGTCAGGAAAACATATTAAGAGTATTTAAATGTAAAAAAAGATTGAGCTTTAATTGTTCTGCAATCAGTAACATTAAATAGATAATCAGTGTTCTGTCTCAAATTAATGTCATGGTCAGGAAAAACAGGGATTGGCAATAAGGGATGGTTTTCTCGCCTCATTCTGACCATGTATTTCTGACATATTTGCACTCTTCTTGTGGTTAAAGTTGGTAGTTGTGCAAAATTCAGGGCCTCCGTATATGACTCGCTCTCCGAGAAAATTATCTTTAGTGCTCGTTTTTGGACCGACTCAATTTCCTTCGATAGATAATCAGGAATGTCTCGCCAAATAGGGACGGCGTACTCAAGAACCGGTCTTACTGTGCACAGGTACACTTTCAGTAAATTCTTTTGGTCAACCCCAGCTTTTCGCAGGACTCTTAAAGGGTATAGTTTTTTGTTAGCCTTCTTAACAACGTATTCGTTATGGGGATTCCATTTCAGGTCGCTACTCAAAATGACACCCAAAGATTTATACGTTGTCACACGCTCAATAATATTGTTACCAATTTGAATTGGTCGGAGTAAGAAATTGGGGTTATGTAGGAAGTTTATAAGCATTTCCTTACACTTCTTAGGATTGAGCTTCATGTTATGTTCATTAGCAAATTCATGTATATCAGAGACTGCAAAATTAAGGAGGCTGATAGAGTTCCTAGGAATAAT